AACGAATTATTATATTATAAATATAAAATTTTATCTTAAAATGCTAGCTTTTTTTATTTACTTTTTTTAATAAAATTTTATTATCTAAATAATTATTCGAATACTTCTTGTGATTATTAAAAATTCTTCTGATAATAAACATGACTTAATATATATTTAAGAATAATATATTTATAAATAATTAAGATAATATAAAATAATACCATAATAAAATTTATTAACATTAATATAATTATACTAATCCTTCAGACTAATACAAAATCTATAAAATCAATTAAATTTACTCTATTAAGTTAAAAAAATCTGAATGAAAATTAAAGAAATCCTTAAGAAATTCTAAGAAATTTTTAAGAAAGTCAAAGAAATACATATGAATATTAAGAAAATCATACGAAAATCAAAGAAACTCTAAAAGATAAATAATCATATATTAATTTAAAGAAAACAAAGAAACCCATCCCCAAGAAAGCCAAAGAAACTAATCGAAAATCAAAGAAATTTAAATTAATCCTTACGAAAATTAAAAAAACTCTTATGAATATTTAAAAAAAATCACTTAATAACTAAAAGAATGAATTCCTTTGTAATATTATAATGAATAAAATCATATTCTAAGTAATTTAGTTACTTTAAATAAAAATCCTTTTTGAGGATAAATATAAGAATCAAATAATTATTAGCAGAAATAAAAACAAGAAAATAATGATTTGAAAAAAAAGAAAACTGATAATAAAAAAAATATATAAATTTAAAATTAGATAATAATTTAAATTAAAAAATAAAATTAATTATATGATAATATTAATGAATATTAAAAAAATAATTAATTTTTTATTAATATTTTATATTTAATAGGGTATTTCTTCTAATGAGAAATATAAATAGATTTTATTAAAAGAAATCGAGAGCCTAAAAGCAGAAAAATTAATCTTTTAAGTATAAAATAAATAAAATTAGTGGAATTATCTTCTAAAAATCATGAATTAGTTTAATAAAAATAGAACAAGTTTTCCATTTAAAAAGTATTGTTAATCTTAATTAGATAAAATACATAAGCTGTGAATATAGAAAAAAACAAAAATATATAAAAAAAAATATTATAAAAAAAAATATTAATATTAAATATAATTATAATATAATATATTTCATAATTTTAAATATATATAAATTATATAACTTTATAAAAAAATAATAAAAAAATATGATATGATATAGATTTTTTAAAAAATATCTAATATTTTTAATATACATATTGGTTTTTTAAGAATAATTTATATTATCAAGTTTAACTATTTATAATGTATAAAATAAAAAACTTAATTTTTGAATTTGTTTATAAATTGTATTATTTATTATAAGAGTTTTATAATTAATAATTTATATTATTGTATATAAAAAGTATTATTAAAAATTTTATATTGTAAAAAAGAATTAAAAAATAAATCGTCTTAAGATGATGTAATTTTACTTAATAAGAAAATATTTATTTTTTTAAATTAAGGTTTTATTTTAATAAATAAAATATAATAATATATATTTAAATATATATTACTTTTTTTAGCCTATAATATTTATATATATTTACAATCTAAATTATTAGTTAATAATTTAAAGATAAATTATATATTTTATATAAATTTATTCTTTTAATATTATTATTATGATATCATTTTATTTTTGTATAAAATTCATTTAATTAAGAGTATAATAATTATAAAAAATATCTTTCTAAAAAATAATTTTATATAAATTTGAAATAAAAGCAATTTTTTTAAAAAAATAAACTATATTTTATTATTAAATGATTTTAGTAATATTTCTCCTAAAAATATGTAAATTAAGTTAACTCTTGAATTGTGATTATATTTTTTTTCGAAACTTAAATTAAATAATAAATATAAAAATAAAACAAAATATCTTTAAATAAAAATAATTTATTTATAATAATTAAAATAATAATCTTATATAAATAAAATTAATATTTTTTTAAAAAATTTTGATTATTTATTTTTATTTTATTGATTTTTAAAATTTCATTTATTTTTTTATATATTTTGAGTTTTAATATATCATTTTATTTTATTCTTTGTAATATTTTTTTATAAAATACACAATTCATTTGCATTTTTGATATTTAAATTATAAAATCATTTTTAAATAAAAAATTTAAATTATAAAATGATTTTAAATTAAATATCTTTTTATGTCTTTATTAAAAGAAGATTTTATTTTTAATTTCTAAATTTATTTTATGTCTTAATTCATGATTTTATATTTTATGTTAATATTTTTATATAAAATATCTTTCTATAATAATTTTTTTATAAATTAAATTAAATTTATTTTTTATATTTTTTTTAATTAATAAGTTAAATATAATTTTTAATACATAATAATATTTTTATATTTATATATTTATTTTTATAAATCAACTATTTTATTTAAAGCTAAAATTATATAGTAAATAATATACTTTCTATAAAAATAATTAATAAATATAAAAAATACTATTTTTACTAAAAAAATACAAGTTTTCTTTAAAAATTTAAATATTAAAAAAACTATATTTTTTTTTCTTTATTTTTAGTTTATTTATTGTTTTTGTGAAAAAAATTTTATGATTTACTTTTTATTAATTTATAGATTTTTATGATTTTTTTTTAATTAGCTTTATTTTTTAATTTGTGACTATATTTTAGATTTTAATTTTTAATTATATTTTGACTTTAATTTGTTCTATATTTTTTTTCTATCTTATAAATTTAGTCTGAGAAAACAATACTTATTTTTATTTTTGAAACTAAAATTATGTATAAAAAATAAAAATAAAATATTTTTCTTTTAAAATAAATATCAAATTCTACTTTTTTAATAAAACTAAAAAAATCAATAAAAACATGAAAAAACTATCGTTATTGTTCTTAATAATATTAATATAATAATCACAATCAAAATCAGAATCAGAATCATAACCATAACAACCATAATCATAGCAACCATAAGAAACTTAATAATAAGAGCCATAGCAAACATAAAAACCATAATCATAATCATAATTATAATTATAAACATAATAATAATCACAATCATAATCATAATAATAAAAAGAAAAAGATTAAAAATACTTATGTTAAAAATATTTGTCTGATCCATTAGAAATAGAAGGAAAAGCATCTGTGAATTTAAAAGATACTTAATTTTTATTGTAATTTTCTTATTAAACTGAAGATAAAGTAGCATCAGAAGCTCTTAAAAAAATAATGAGGTCGTTAATAAAGTATTAGAAGAATTAAAAAAAGTTGAATGATTAACTATTTCTACTAGTGGCTTTTCTATTCAAAATAATTATGATGAAGTAGAAAACACTACTACTAAAGAATACGAGATAACATGTAGGATATAAAGTTAAAAATTAGATTTAAGTAAAGTCTTCTGAATTAGAAAAGGCTGAAGAAGTGATTTAAACTACTATTGAAAATAAATTTGATACTGTTGATTTTGTTAAATATTATCCTAATGATAAACAAATATAATGAGCTAAAGATGATCTAATATGTGATGCAGTTGAAAATGCTTAAAAAAAGACAGAAATAATTACAAAAGATATCTAATATAGTTTGACGGTTTAAAAGGATCTTCTATTAATTATCGATAAATAAAAGGATAGAAATTGACTATATTTATTACAGTAGTATTTAATATTAAATAAGATCCTGTTAAAGATAAAGATGAATGAAAAAATGAAATATCATTATTTTTAAATGAAAATAATCTTAATTTATTTTTATAATAAAATAATTTTTTATTATTAAATTAATAATTTTATTTATTTCATATTTATATTAATTAATATATATCTTTTATCAAGTTTAATTTTATTAGAAAAATAAAGATATATATATATATATATTATATATAAGAAAGTAAAACTAATATTTATAAAAAAAAAATATAAATATTAACTTTGTTTAAATTAATATTTTAATTTAAAATAAATAGTTTTTCAATTATAATTAAATAAAAATTAAATAAAAAATTGAATAAAATAAAATAAGAAAAATATAAAATTTTTATCTTTATTTATATAAGATATATTAAGATTTATTGTATAAAAATATATTTATATATATAAAAAATTTATTTTTTTATTTATTCTTATCATTTTTTTATCTATATTTGTGTTATAAATAATTTATAAATTTTTTATTTTTAAATTTATTCTAAAAAATCATATCTTATTTATATTTATGAAATAAATATAAATATTGAAAATTATAAATTAAATAAAAATATCTTATAAATATTAATAAAAAAAACTGAAAAATTATTTTTTTGGTACATAGTTTTTTTTTACTTTTTTATTTTATATAAATAAATTAATTTTTCTAAAAAATCTATATTTCATAATATTTTATTAAAAAATAAGTATAAAGATATTAATAATTTCTTTTTTATAAAAATAATTTATTATTATATTATGTAATAAAATATTTTTTTTAAAAAATATTCAAATATTAAAAAAAACATAATTTTTTTATAGTATTTATTTATAATTTTTTTATTTTTATTCTATGATATTTTTATTTTATTTTCAATTTTTATATCTTATTAATTCATAATTATAATTTAAGTTTTATTTTATTATATTTATCTATATTATTTATATATATTATAAAATTACTATTTGTTTTATCTTTTGAATCCAAAATTATTGAAAGTTACATATAAAAAATAAATAAAATAATGCCTATAAAAATTATTTAAAAATAAAAATAAACTAAATAATTAAAAAAAGCTATAATAATAATAAAAACATGAAAATACTATCATTATTATTCTTAATATTATTATTTTAATAATCATTATAATGTAATGAAACTAATTAATAATGCGAATGTTAATTATTCTTAAGTACTCTATCTGATCCATCAAGAGTATAAGGAACAGCATCTACATCTTTAAATGATACTTAATTTGAAATATAAGTTTCTTACTAAAATATGGATAAAAATGTTTAAACTGCTCTTGAAAAAAATAAAGAAGTTATCAAAAAAGTATTAGATATTTATAAAGAAGATTCAGAATTAAGTGTTTCTTCTACTGGCTTTACTATTGATTCTTCTAGTTATATTGATTAATTGAATGAAGAAACTTAATAAAATGAAAGAGTTTTTGAAGGATATAAAGTTAAAAACTCGATTTTAATAAAATCTTCTAATTCATAAAAGGCTGGTAAAGTGATTGATGATGCTATTAATAATGAATTTAATTCTGTTGATTTTGTTAAATTTTCTCCTGATGATAAATAAATAGAATTAGCTAGATAAAAACTACTAAGCGAAGCAGTTAAAGATGCCAGAAAAAAAATAGATTTACTTTTAGAAAATCTAAAATAAGAAGTTATTGGTGTAAAAAGAGTTGATAATATTCACGAAAATATAAGTAAGCCTAATGATAATGTTAATAGTATTGCTTTTGCACTTGGTGGTAATGATTCAAATAAGACATAATTAAATGAATCTTAAAAAACTATGACTATTAATGTTAGAGTTTAATTTATTACTTAACAAATTAATTAAGATTTGGAATGATAAAAAATTTAATTATAATTTTTTTAATAAAAACATCTCAATTTTTATTATATAAAATTATTATTTCAATATTTATTTAATATGATATTTTTTTATTTTTCATTATTTAATAATTATAATAACCATTAGTTTTATTATTTTTATATAGTTTTTTTACATTTTATATGCAATATTTTATTTGTTATTGAATAGCATTTTATAATATATATATTTAAATTTTAAATGTAAAAATAAATAATAATTAAAATACCTTAAAATTAAAATAAATTTTATATCTTAATTTGCATGTATAATATAATATATATATCGTTTTAGATAAATAAATTTTAATCCTTAAATATTCTAATGAAATTTATATTAAATTTATTATTTTAGATTTATTTTTAATTATTTAATTTAAAATAAAAAAAAGCAAAAGTTATCTTAACAAATAAGTGAAGAAATTTTTAAGAATATTTGTGAAAAATAGTAAAATATTAAAAATAAAAAAATTTAAAATACAATTTCATGAAAAGTTAGTTCGTTAAATACTAATTAAATTTTAAAAAAAGTTTCTAATAAATATATAAAAAAAAAAATTGATTAATTATGTTTTCTAATAAAGAATATATTAATTTTATAAAAAATATGAATATAAAAGACATTTGTATCTATATTTTGGTATATTTTTTGAAAATATTTATTAAATACGAAACAAAATCAAAAATAAGATAATTTTGAAGATAAATTAATATTAATTGTAAATTCGATTTAAAATTATAAAGATTAAAAAATCTTTTATGATTATTAACTTATAATGTTCTCTAAGATAAATTTAGAAAATAAGAAATTGATGAAAATTATTTATTAAAATTTAAAATTAGAAATTCAATATAAACAAAATGTAATAAATTTAAATAGAAAATAAAATTACACAATATATAATATATTAAAAATATAAAACTATTTTTAAATTAATAAGAAAAGATATTAAAAATAATAAAATAAAAAAATATAAAATAAATATATAAAAGAATAAAAATTAAAAAAAAATCAAATTAATTATAATTAAATATAAAAATAAAAAAAATACATAATTTAAAAAATGAAAAATATATAAAGATGTTAAATAAAAATAAATATAATAATAAAAATATTATTAAAATATCTTAATTTTAAAAAGTAATAAAAATAATTGATTAAAAAATATAATAAATAAATAAAATAATGTTAAAAACAATAATAATAATATTAATAATATTAATAATAATAATAATAATAATAATAATAATAATAATAATAATACTAATTATAATACTAATTATAATAATAATTAATATGATTTTATAATTATAATATTTATAATAACAATTATAATTATTAAAATTATTAATATATATATATATAAAATTAAAAAATTATTTATTTAATATAAAAATAAGATTAATAGTTTTTAAAAAAAAAATATATAAATAATATGAATATTAATAGTAAATATAATAATAAAAACATAATAAAATTAACAAACTTAATAATATTAATAAAAAAAAATTCAAATATTTTAATTTAAAAATTTTATTATTAATAATAACTATATAAAAATATTATATTTAAAATTTTAAGTTAGTTTATTTTTAATAATTTTTATTAAAAAAAACATTATTTTTAACACTTACTCTTTAATCTCACACCATAAATTAAAATTTTTAATATAAAATTTATATAGAATTACCTAATTTTATTTTTAATATTTTTTATTATTAAAAGTAATTTATAATAAAATAAAATATAACTAACTGCCTTATAATTATAAAAAAAAATTTAATGTATAAAATTTTTTAGAAATTCAATAAAAAAAAAAATAATAAAAAAATAATTAAGATTTTCTTATAATAAAAAATTTATTAATTAATATTTCTGTTATTAACTGCTATTAAATAAAAAGATTGCTTTAAACATTTATTTTTCAATAATTATATTATATATAGTATAATTAAAATGTTATAAGAAATAAAATTAAAATAACTATATAATATATTTATTTAATAAATAAAAGTATTATATAAAATTATTATTTTTTACATAAATTTTTTAATTATTAATTATGCATTTTTTTATTTTGTGTATATATTTTTATATATAAATTATTTAATAAGAAAAATTTTAAATTTATTTGATAAATATATATTAATTTTTTTTATATTTGATTTTTAAAATAAAAATTAAAAAACATTTATTTAAACAAATAAACTTTTTTTTTTTTCAAATGTTTTAAGTAATTAAAATAATCAATGTACATTTAATTTAATTAAAAATTTGAAGAACTAATATCTTTTTTAGATGTTATAACAGATATATATTAATATAATAAGGTTTACAAAATAATGCATATATAAGTTTCTAAATTCTAAATCATTTTTAATAAATTTTAAATAAAAAATTGAAAATGCTTGAAAATTGAAATCGAAAATACTTTTTGAGTATATATAAAGAAAAATTTAAATTTTATTAAAAATAAGCAAGAAAATAATCCTAAAAAAATAAAAATAACTCTAAAATTTAAATTATGATGAAATAGTGATAGTGAAGTAAAAAGTTTTAAAGAAGAAAAATAAAAAATTAATTATTAAAAGAATTAGAAAAGTTTCAAATCACTTAAAAATTAAAAAAAAATATATATTTCTTTTAAATTAAATACCTATTATTTACATACAGATGTTATAAAAAAACCTCATTTTGGTTTAATAATAAATAATATGTATTAAGGTTAAGTATGTAATGTTTTAAAATAATATGTATTTGTTTGATTAATATTTAGAGTTTATTTACAGTATTTTATTTCTAAAAATTAATTATAAAAAATATATTTTTAATAAATGAATTTGGAGAAGCTTTTAAATTTATGAAAATAATAATGATAATCTAATTTCTAATTAAATTGTAAAAATATATATTTTTTTTTTTAAAAAAAATTCATTAATTTAAGATTAAGAAATTAAAATAATATTTTATTTTATTTTTAGTTAAAAAAAAAATAATAATAATAGTGAAAATGTTAGATAACTTAAAAAAAAAAATTCTGAGTAATATTATTTTATATATTATATTTTATTTTAAAATAAATATAAAACTGTAAATACATGAAAAAAAATAATTCATTTTAGATATAAATTTTAAGAAAAATTAAATAATTTAATTTTAAAAAAAAATTAATTGTTCAAAATAGAAATCTAATATATTTGAAAATATCAAAAAAAATTGTTATATTATTAATTCATATATATCTAATTATTTAATATATTTCATTTTTATATTTTCTAATATAAATTTGAAAACTATAAAATTTTTTGGTTAAAATGTTTTAAATAGTCTTAATTTAAATAAAAAAATACTTAATAAAGATATTGTGAAAATATCTTAAAATTAAATAAAATATATTAGTATATTTCAAAATATATTTCTTTAATTAATTTATTTTTTTACATATTAAACTTAACTACATTAATATTTTAAAATAAACTTATATAAAAAAATTAATTATAAATATAAATAACTATAGCTATTGTAAAATACAAATAAAATATAATATGTAATAAATTATAAAAAAAAATATAAATAAAAATTAAAAATTAAATATTAATATATTAGATTAGATTATAAAAAAAATGAAAAAAAAATAAAAATATTTATATTAAAAAATAAATAAAATAATAATATTTATTTTTCTAATAATAAAAAAATAGAAAATCTTAAGATAATAATTAATTGATTATATTTATATTTTACTTTTTATTATTATCATGTTTTAAGCAAAAAAAATTATGAAATAATTTTAAATTTAGTAAATTATTTATTTATCTTTATCTTTTTATATTATATATATAATCAAAGTGCTTAAAATATCTTTTCATAATAAGAGTTACTTATATAAAGATAATAATTATTTTATTTTATGTTTATAATAAATACTTTTAAATATATAAATATAAAAATATTATAATATTTATTATAATTTTTTAATATTTATTATTGGGGCTGAATTTATAAAATTAAGACATAATTTGTTAAATTATTATTCTATTTATTTAATTCGTATAAATATGGTTGAAAAAGATTTACGAAAAAAATATTTTAATTTTTAACATTTTTTAATTTATTTTTTATGTTTTATTTTTTTTAAGATAAAATGAATAAAATAAAAAAAAAAATTCACATAATATATCTATTAAGTATAAAATAAATAACTTAACAATTGAATATTCAGTTTAACAAATTTATAAAATTAAATATAAACATTAAAATTAATTAAAAAGAAAAAAACCAAAAAAAAAATGAATTATTTTTTATTAAATAGTAATCAATAGATATTAGAAATTTATAAAAATGTAGAATGAAAAAAAATATTATAAAATATGTGATAATTTATTAAAAATATATTTAAATTTTAAAAAAAATAAAAAAAGCGCGACTTTAATTATTTATTTAAAAATAAATAAAAATAAAATACAAATATAAATAAAAATAAAAATAAAAATAAAAATAGATATGATATAAATAAAAAAAAAAATTATATAAAATATATATAAATATATTTATATATATTATTAATTTTTATATAATTTATATTTCTTTTTATTTATTTTAATTTATAATAATTTATTAGATATAATATTATTTATATGATATTTTTTTTTATTTTTTTTATTTTCTAGAAATCCCTTTTTATGAATCTATCAATCCTCTATATATTATTCAAGGATTAAATATAAAATTTATATATAAATAATTATATAAATTAATTTTTTATTCATTTATTAGAGATTAAGAATTTTAGACTGTTTAT